AGAACCTCCAGCTCCAGCGCCTCCAGTGCCAGCACCTCCAGCAGCTCCAGAACCTCCAGCGCCAGCACCTCCAGTACCAGCGCCACCAGCAGCACCCCCATAACCGGCACCTCCAGCTCCAGGGTCTCCAGCCTCAGTGTCTCCAGTAGCACCTCCAGGTCCAGCATACCTCTAGCCACAGCAGCTCTAGTACCTCCAGTACGAGCACCTCCGGGACCAGTGGCTCCAGTAGCTCCAGTAGACAAAGTACCTCCAGTCTCAGCACGCTCAGACTCGGCACCTTCAGAACCGACACCCCGGTGACGTTAGCAGAAGCACCTCCAGTAGCAGAGTCACCAACTCCAGATTCTCAAACGCCAGCGCCTCACGCAGCAGGGCCCCCAGCTCTAGCAGCGCGACCCTGACGGCTAACGTACCACTCACGCAGCTGCTGTGTGGAGAGAGGGACACGCCGACGAGAGTGATGCGGCGAGGCACCAGCAGAGCGACTACAGATGCGGCCGCTCCAAGGAGACTGCTCACCAGGCGCCTCAGTACCCCCAGGCGCAGCACCCCCAGACTCAGTACCCCCAGGCTCAGCACCCCCAGGCTCAGTACCTCCAGGCTCCGCACCCCCAGGCTCAACACCCCCAGGCTCCTCACGCTCAGGCTCAGCACCTCCAGGCTCCGCACCCTCAGGCTCAGCACCCCCAGGCTCCGCACCCCCAGGCTCAGCACCCCCAGAAGCAGCACCCCGAGCAGGACCACCCCCAGCAGGACCTGAGTCACCAGTGACCTCAACAGGCTCAGTCAAGGGAGGAGGGTCTACCTGAGACACACCTGAAGGAGCAGGACCTGGAGGGGGGAGGGGGTCTACCTGGGGAGGACCTGGAGCGAGAAAGAGCGGCGGGGGGGGGAAGAGGTGCAGTGCGGTAGGGAAAGAGACGGTAAAAGGGGACCGACTCGTCAAAGGTGACGTCCTGAGATGCAAAGACACGGCGCGAGGCGGGGTCGTAAAACTGCCAGCCAGGTGCATCAGGGGACACAGTGGAATCGCGGACAAAGGCACGAGCACCCCAGACCCGGAATCGCGACGCATCGCCAACCTCCCCCGTCCAACATAGTGCAGGCGAAGTCTCCGGCACGGAGACACGGGGCCAGAGGTTGAGCTGATGCGCGGCGTACCGGACCGCAAACGGCCACAAAAAATGGGGGGCAGCCGCATAGGTCATGGGGGTACGAGCGACCTCCATGACTATGCCAATGCGGCGCTCAGCAACCCCATTCTGCTGCGGAGAGGCCGGAAGCGTGAACGACTGGCGGATGCCCTCCTCACAGAAAGCTCGCAAGAGGTCGGAGGTGAACTCACCACCTCTGTCAGAATGCAGACGCAGGACAGGAAAGTCCGACTCGAACCGCTCGCGGAGCTGGAGACGAACAGCGCGGATCCAAGGGATCAGAACAGCAGGGACATCCCCCTTGCGCTGCAAGGGGAAGACCGTGGTGTAACGCGTGTAGTCGTCGACGACCAGCAGGAAGTACCGCTCGCGGCCCTGCCCCTGGACGCGGGCTGGGCCCCTTATTCACGTCCAGGTGGAGAGTCTGCAGTGGAGCCTCTGTTGGAGTGAACGAGGAGGAGTGAGGAGTGGCGCGCTGCCGCCCCTCGACGCAAGGAATGCAGGGCGGCGCAGGCGAGGGAGGGAGGGAGGGCAGAGACCTGGGAAGACCAGAAACCAGGGAGCGAGAGTGCATGCCACGAAGGCGAGGCAGGGAGGGGTGACCAAGGCGGTGGTGCCAAAGGAGGGTCTGGTGCGACAGCCGGCGACACTCACACTGGGTAGCTACCTGAGCGGACGCGTACAGCTGAGGAGACAAAGGGGTGTAGCGCGACGCAGTGGTGAGGGTGTACAGACTGGACCCAGGCGCACGTGTGAACGTGGCCAGGTGGCGGCCAGTCCGAGAGCACGTGCAGATCGCCACACGCTGTCCTCCAAGGGTAAAGGTGTCAACCCAATGATCCTGAAGGACGGCGTTGCTCACCAGGTTCATAGAGAACGAGGGGATGTGGAGACCTGACAGCTCACCAGACGGGACCGCCGGGCACGGAAGCACAGTAGTGGACCGTGCAAGCACTGGGCCCCAAGAGGGGTCAGCCAGTGAGACAGGGACAGGTGCAGGGAGGGGAGTGACTATGGTACTATCGCGAAAGAAACGGCGGGAAGCACCAGAGTCAAGTGTAAAGGTGTGCAAGGCCTGAGCCGACGCAGTACCAGGGAGAGCAGACTCATCAGCACCTAGGGCTGGAGTCTCTATACCTGGGTCAGGCGGCATACACAAGTAGCAGTCACCCTCAGCACTAACACTTGATGCATACATGGCAGCAAGAATTGCATCATAGTCAAGATCAAAGATAGGAACATCACGCCTAAGCAGGTCGTTCCAGGCGTCGCTAAGTCGAGAAAAGCAGCGGTAATCAGTGTGAAACTTGCCGCATGGGTGACCGGCGCGAGGACCTGTGCGAATGATATAGGGGCAGCGAACAGGACCCCCAGACGCCCCACGCTGAGCGTACCAGTCACGAAGCTGCTGAGGCGTGGGGGTCTCACGCTGACGCTGCTGCTGCTGCTGCCGCTGCTGCTGCTGCTGCTGCTACTGCTGCTGCTGCTGCCCCTAGCCACCACTAGAGCTCCCCTTCTGGCCGGTCCCACTCCAGCCCCCGCCACCGCCGCCACCACCGCTCCCTCCTCCCCCACTACCGCCGCTGCCACCTCCACCGCTCCCGGTACCACCGCCGCCCCAACCACTACCTCCACCACCACGACCACCCCCGCCACCTCCACCTCCCCCGCCGCCTCCACCACCGCCCCCTCCACCGCCACCTCCACCACCCTTGCCGCCCTTGCCCCTGGCGCTGCGGCGCAAATCGAGCGTCACGAAATCGAGCTTTGACCTAGGAGGGCGGCACGAAATCGAGCGTCACTAGCGCGAAGGTGAGAGATGAGGTCCTCAGCGGTGGTAAACGAGGACAGGTCGGGGAACAGGTAGGGTAGGAGAAGACGACCTAGGTCCGCAGTGGCATGGGAAGAGTAGCGGGCAATTACAGTGTCATACATCGCCTTAGCAGTCTTGTGCTGGCTAAAATGCGCGCGCTCAGTGATCGGCAGATGGTTGCGAATAGCGAGGCGCGCAGCAGCATCACGAGTCTGCCACTGTGAGCGGTCGAGAGCAGGAGCAGTGTCAGCAGGAGCAACGGAAGTGCCAGACGCGTGATCGAACAGGGAAACACCGACTTTGGCATCAGTCGTAAAAAACAGTTGCAAGTCGTCGAGCCTAGTGGCGAATTCTATTGGGCGACCGTCAGGCTCAAACGCGAGGACATTGAGTGTCGCCATAATCGCAGCGCAGACAAAGGCAGCTTGCAGGCGGCAAAGGGCAGCACGCGGGCTGCAGGGCAGAGAGCAGGCCAAGAGAGTCTGCGCGCGGGGCTGCAGAGGTGGCGCATGCGGCAGCCGTAGATGCGGCGCGCAAGCGGCAAGGGCAGCGCGCTAGTGGCTGGGGTAGCCGCGGGCAGCGCGGAGGCTGCTGGTGCGGCGTGCGAGCAGGCAACGCGGCACGCGGGGCAGCAGCGGGCAGCGCGCAGGCTGCTGGGGCGGCGCATGGGCTGCTGGGGCGGCGCGCGAGGCAGTAGTGGGCAGCGCGAGGGCTGCCGGGGTGGCACGCGAGCAGCGAAGGCGGCGCACGGGGCAGCAACGGGCTGCGCGCAAGCTGTCGGGGCGGCGCGCAAGCAGCGAAGGCGGCGCGCGGGGCGATAGCGGGCTGCGCGCGGGCTGCCAGGGCGGTGCGCGTGCAGCGAGGGCGGCGCGCGGGGCAGCAGTGAGCGGCGCGCGGGCTGCCGAGGCGGTGCGCGAGCAGCGAGGGCGGCGCACGGGGCAGCAGCGGGCAGCGCGATGGGGGTTAAGGCTGCGCGCTGGGCAGCAGCAGGCAGCGCGAAGGCTGCAGGACGGCGCGCGTAGCGCAGCACGTCACGGAGACTAGGCAGGGCGCGCGCGGGCAGCGTAGCGCAGGCAAGGCAGGGCGCGCGCAGGCGGCGCATCGCGGGCAAGACATGGGGTAGCTCAGTAACCGCAACGGTAGGTGGGCCCGAAAAAAAAAACGGTCCTACGGACCTACTGCTCTGAAACCATGTTAGAAACTACTAGCAAAAATGCATGAACTCTGTCAAAGTTGGGTACAAGTATGAAACCCTAAAGGGGCTATACCCCATATTGGCTACCCCACTACAGCCTACACATATATAACATGCATATAATTTGACACCGGGCATCCTCAATTCGTGCTCATGACCTGAACCTGGATACGCCCTAACTACCTTCGCCTTGGCCTTCTTCCTGCGCTGCTTCGCTGCAGTAGGAGTTGCCTCATCCGATGAAGTTACGGTACTGGTGCTGGTGTTGTGCACTGTGTTGCTTCGCCCGTGCACTTGACCACGGCCTTGCCTACTCTTCTATTGCAAGTTTCACACATGCCGGTCTCTCGAGACCATGGCGCCTCGAACCCACCGTGCAAACAACAAACAACAAACCAAATGTGCAAATGCTGCAGCTCGCTGAACCTGCCAACAACAGTAAGTGGCTAGTGTTCCTGGAACGAACATCTACCACACTGTGGCACCAACGGTTGATTGGTTGCTGCATAATGAGCACCAATATCTGCTGTCCATTAACGTTGAAACTTAAGTTTGTCATATATAGTGGTGTAGAATGTTAGGGAACGCACGGCCCACTGCCCTAAATTGTGCATCAGAACGAGAAAGATGGTCGACAGCTGCCATGTTATCTACGAAACGGCTAGAAAAGGTGTATGTATCAGCATCGCACTGGTAGCGGCAGCCAGCTTAAGCAGTGATGTTGCACTGGAAGCACACACCGTGCAACGTCCGCGATCACCGGGTACACCCAGCTGTATCTCATCAGTGTGAGCAGATCTGATTCTTCTTCTGGTAGTCTCGCCAACTCACGCCGTTAATACTTGGTCCACATAAGCCGGCTCAGACCAACGTAATCAATGTCGTTCTTCAGATCGCCAACGAACGGAGACGATGGCGTCCACGTGGCAATATAGTTCCCCTTGGCCTTGATCGTCTGTGTCGCACGGTCGATCAGCGTGTACGACCCCTCGCAGTAAATCTCCTTGATGTCATTGGACGGTCCCGATTGCGCACCATTCCCGGAAGCGGGCCCGACGGTGGAGTCCTTTGCAATGGAGATGGCGGTGATGGTGTGCGTGATGGTGAGGTTCTTATCCACCAGAACCTTGAGAGCTTGCTGCTTTTCCAAAGGGCTATACAGCGACATCGGTTCCGCGTGAGACGGGTAAAGCGTAACGAAAGTCGCGAAAATGCGCGAGGCGAAGAGCAGGTTACCAGCGCTCAGCGCAGTGATGGCCTGAGAGGTGGCGCTTCGGATGAGGAACTTGAGGTACTCTGGGGAGTAGCCCTGCACCGCGGCTAGGTGGGGCTCATCTGTCGGCAATGCCAGTCGGGACGACGCTGGAAGACGCCCGGCATTGACGCTCACGACAGCTGCCAGAGCCAAAGTTAGGAGAAAGAGACGTGAGACAGCCATGGCGGTGTTAGATATCTGGGATTAGTCGGAAAGGAAAGTGGAGGAGGTGTATTGAGGTTCTGCCTATGTTGTGTACTTTTGATGAACGGAATGGGCTGGGCTAATATGCGTCGGGAGGAGCGGGATTCAGCATTCAGGAATTTGGGGGACATAACACTCGGAGAACACCAAGGCGACAAGCGCTCCTCTACACCTCTCCCTCGGCAATTTCAACACCCGCGCTGCGGGAGTTTCTGTTTGTTGTTTTTGGGCTTGTTGAAATTGGAGGGAACAGAGTAGTTCCGACAGTCAGAGCGGTTTCACTCGGTTTCGTAATGCTCAATACCGTGATACAGGCGTTTGAATTGGTTCTGAGCTTTTTCGAGAGGTTGTGAGGCCGAATCGCGCCGGGCCCAGGACCCATGTCGAGACAAAAGGTGTTAAAATTGCTGGGAATTGAAATTGGCGCGGGACAGGTGTACAAAGCGTTGTGTTTCGTGCTGCGCGTCCCCCCTCTCTTCCCTCATGTTTCTCGTCACCTGCGCGAGGCGCAGACTACAGTATTGCTGCCAGTACAGTACACCTCACCAGGGTCCATCAAGTGTTGGGGATGGCTTCTGATTGGGCCCTTGAGAGTGATGCTGTCAGCAACACACGTCAATTGATCACGATCTGGAATCGAACCTGTACACCAGAACGCCCAATGAGGTTCTACATGGCACGAACATCAGCATGTAACCCGTCAAGCGACTTCGTGCAAAATCTCTGACGACAAATGCGCGCTGGTCGCCCACTTTCGTCATTTCGTGCCAAACTGTCATTTACAGAGAACATGATACTCTCAACTAGCGTTCCCCGTACAAGACCAAGGATGCTTCATTTGCAATAGCTTAGATTTTCCTAAAGTGTCATACCATGATGATATACTCAGGAACATACGTATTAGGGCGTATTCCTATCCTCATTTCAAGAATACCTCATATCAACCTCCCACTGAAAATTCCCCTAAACCCAAAACCTCTCGCTAGTTTTACCAGGCAAAAAGTACATTCTTGATATGAGGTTCTCTTGATACGAGGATAGGAATACGCTCTTAGTGTGTATTACACCCTAGATTTTCAAAATTCTTATTTACAAAAATCACTAATTCTTTTTATGCACAACAATAATGGTTATATAGCCTCTATACATCAATATGGATTGACCGCACAAAGTATAACAGCAGAAGTCGCTTGTGAATTGGTACAGACTCTGTCAATCTAGGGAGATTGAATCTGGACAAAAGTGACTATAACAATAAGATAAAGTGGTTACAAAGGATTACAAAAGAACACGAAGGGTCCTAGCTAGCCGTATACTCTGTTGATATAACTAAAAGATTTTTAGTTGACATGCTAAGTTGCCAGACAGAGTAAGACAGCAGAGGTACTAATTTGTCAAACTGAGGAATGAATGATGCATTGATGTTGGTTTGGGGTACATATAACAAACCCTAACTGTTGTACACCCTAAGACAAGCCTCACTACAGGCTACAACATTTGACACACCCCCATAGCCTAAGTGAGGGGTGTCTAGCAAAACCAAAAGAGTACGGTCATAAGACCAGTCACAAAGAAACAAAGCTCAGGGTGGATCACAACATCACCACACACTCTGAGCACAAGCAACAGTGGCCACAAGGCCAGTCCAAGCAATAACAGAGATATATAGAAAGTGTACAAGCAAAGCAAACAGTGAACTCAAGACTAAGTAAGACGAAAACCAGTGTCAACAAGGCCTAACTGCACACAGCACCTGTGGTGGTCACAAGGCGGAAGCGCCTTGGTGAAGATGTCTGCAGTGTTGGCCTCGGACTCCACAAACTCGAAGCGAGCCTGTCCACGTCTCTGCAACTCTCGCAGAAGGAAGTACCTGACGTTAATGTGCTTCACTCTGCTCTTCAGTCGCGGCTCTCGACAAAGGAGAATCGATGCCTTGTTGTCAGTGAACAAGGTCGGTGCAGAGCTCGGCCGCTCACCCAGGTCGGCGAGCAAGAACGTCAACCAACGCAGCTCCTGTGCCGCCATGGCACCAGCGTAGATCTCAGCCTCAGCTGTAGAGGTCGAGACCGAAGAGGAGCGCGTGGACCGCCAGGAAACAGCTCCAGAACCTAGGCTGAAACAGTACCCCTGAGTAGACCTGTGAGTCTCAGCGTCGTCAGCGTAAGAAGAGTCACAGTGACCAGTAAGTACGACAGACTGTTGCCCTCCAAGAACTAGCCCCACGCCTGATGTCGTCGCTAAGTACTTCGCCACCCTCACAGCTGCTGTCCGATGAACAGGACGGTGTCTCCCTGGCGCAACAAAGCGCGCAAGGATGCTGAGAGGGAAAGCGAGGTCCGGGCGAGTACAAGTCATCAGGTACATGAGGCAACCCACAAGCTCTGCGTAGGGACCACTGGGCTCAAACGGCTCGTCAGGAAAGGGTCCAGTGAGTCTGTGGTCAACAGCAAGAGGTGTGCGCTGTACTATGGAGTGCTGAAGCCCGAACCGCTGAAGGACCTGCTGCACCATGTGCGACTGTGAGCGTGTAGTGGTGCGAGCAGCTCTGTCCCTGGTGATCTGCAGCCCAAGGTAATGGCGCAGCTCACCAAGGTCAGTGCAAGTGTGTCTCTTCTGCAGTTCGGACTTCACGTCTGCCAAAGCAACCCTGTCAGCAGTGGCGAAAACGAGGTCGTCGACGTAGACCAGAACGAAGAACGATATGGAGCCACGGCGAACAAACAACGACGGGCCGGCAGAAGACGGCTGGAACCCAAGGTCAGAGAGGGTAGAGCGGAGAGTGTCGTGCCAGAAGGCAGAGGGACGACGTAGCCAGACCTCCTCGTGTAGGCTGCCCTGAAGAAAAGCAGTGGAGAAGTCGAGAGAGTGTAACTCGTAGTCTCTCTGTGCTGCTACGTGCAGTAACACCCGAAGAGTGGTCATCTTCGGGGTCGGCGCGAAGGTCTGAAAGAAGTCAACTCCCTTGCGCTGTCTGAAACCTCTAGCAACGTAACGCGCCTTGAAGACCGGAGGAGATCCCGGTGGCCGCTTCACCCTGTAGATCCACATGCCATCGACTACGTTCGTCCCAGGGGGAGGAACCTCATCGACGTAGGTGCCTGTGGATCTGTAGGAGGCCATCTCTGCGTCCATGGCAGCTCTCCACTGAGAGGCCCAAGGCCCTGACACTGCCTCAGCGTAAGTGCGAGGAGTCGGAATGTCAAGGGCGTCGGGGTCACCCTCAGGGGTGAGGAGCATGGCACAGAGATGAGGGGAAGCGGCTGCCAGGAACTCTAGCTCAAACTGCCTGTCCTCTAGGACGTCACAGCCAAGGGCAGACACACCCCCGACGGCCAGAGGACTGGTAGGAGGAGCAGCCACAAGAGTGGTGGCGTAGTCAAGGCGGCGAGTAGAGGCAAACTCAGTGACCGCGGCAGTAAGAGCGGAGACAGAGGACAAAGAGGCACGAGGGTGGGTTGTTAAGAGAGGCGAGAACACGAGAGAGAACAGGACGGTACACGCGGTAGTAGTCAGTGACACGGGTAGAGAGAGAAGCTGTGAGGGCCGACTCAGGAGGAGAAGGAAGCACAGGAGGAGCCGAACGAGGCGGACTAGAACGCAACAAGACAGTACGAAGGTCAGTGAAAGGAACAGGGGACGAGAGACAAGCACGAGGAGAGCGACGAGTAGCCCAAGTACGAGACGGAGGAGGAGACGACAAAGGCGGAGAACTGGGGAAAACAGCGGGGGAGGAGTCAGGAGGAGGAAACGTGGGACCGTAGACAGGAGGAGAGGGGGAGGAGGGAGGAGAGCGAGAGGGGAGACCAAGGGTCCGAAGACCCGAGACAGGAGGAGGAAGTGGCTGCTGCTGCTGCTGCTGCTGCTGCTGCGGCTGGTGCTGCTGCTGCTGCGGCTGCGGCTGCTGCTGCTGCTCCTGCGGCTCCAGCTGCTGCTGCTGCTGCTCCTGCGGCTCCAGCTGCTGCTGCTGCTCCTCCAGCCGCTTTAACTTCCTCTCCTCTCTCTCCAACGCCAGCTGCTCCTCACGGGCACGGCGAACACGAGCCTGGTGCCTAGTCGGGTAGGGGTGGGGGGGCGGAGTAGTGTCCGGGGCAGCGGCAGCCCCAGAGTCCACCTCCGAAGCACCAGGCGCACCACCCCCAGAGGCAGCACCAACACCAGCTCCAGACCCAGGCTCACCAGAAACCGAAGGAGGCGCACCCTCACCCCCAGACAGAGCACCCCCAGTGTCCGCGCGACCAGCACCAGCTCCCGGAAGACAAGAGTCCTCTGCACCCACCGGCTCAGCTCCAACTCCAGCACCCCCAGAACCAGAAACCGGTACAGGAATGGGCTCAGCACCAACCTTTCGAGAGCTAGCACCTACGGAACGCTGCGAGGAGGACTGTGGGGAGGGAGGCTGTACCGGAGGGGCTACCGAAGGAGGAGGGGTAGCCTGGGACACACCTGACGGGGCTGGACCAGGGGGGGGAGGCTGTACCGGGGGAGCAGGAGGGGGAGCGGCAGTCAGGAAGAGAGGGGGAGGAGGAACCAGGAGACCTCGACTGGGGTACCTGACGTAGTACGGGGTGGACTCCTCGAAACGGACGTCACGGGAGTCAAAGAACCGGTGAGAGGGAGGGTGGTAAAAGGTGAAGTCAGAGGAGTCCTCAGGGAAACCAAGGAAAACACAAGGAACGGCGCGAGGCGAGAGCTTGTCCGCAGAGGTGTCGCGGACAAGAGCCAAGCAACCTCATACACGAAACCGCGACGCAACACCAGGGGACCCGGTCCAAAGACTGGTCGGCGAAGCCTCTGGCCGAGAGACGCGTGGCCAGAGGTTCAGCTGGTGCGCGGCGTACCGAACCGCGTAAGGCCACAGAAAATGGGGGGCACGGGCGTGAGTCAAGGAGGTGCGGGCGATCTCCATGACCAAGCCTATGCGGCGCTCAGCAACCTCATTCTGCTGTGGGGACTCTGGAAGCGTCCAGGACTGACGAATGCCCTGCTCGCGACAGAATCCAGCGAGAATGCCGGAGCGAAACTCACCCCCGCGGTCGGAGTGAAGACAGCTGACACGACGACCACGAGTGTCCGCGGTGGTGAGCAACCACCTGATCAGCGTAGAAGTCACCTCAGACTTCTTCGCCAGGGGGAACACCGTGGTGTAGCGGGAGTAGTCATCAACGACCACCAGAAAGAAACGCTCACGCTCAGGGCCAAGGCGAGAGGCGGGGCCCCAGATGTCTAAGTGAAGCGTCTCAAATGGCTCATTGGCCGGACGAAGGGAGGAGGAGTGAGGGGTGGCGCGCAGCCGACCCTCGACGCAAGGACCGCACGGTGGTGCAAGGGACGGCGGCAGCGACGGCAAGACACGCGGGAGACCTAAGACCAGACGCTGACTAGACATAGCGCGCAGACGTGGAAGAGAAGGGTGTCCCATCCGGTGGTGCCACAGAACGGTGGGGTGGGCAAGTGACCGGCAGGAGCAAGACGCAGCGACTGGACTGGACGCGACTACCTGAGGGGACGTAACCACCTGGTGAGACGCAGGGAGGAGACAAGGGGGAGGGACAGGAACAGGGAGTAGGGGCTGCTGCGACGGCGGCTGCTGCGGCTGCTGCTGCTGCTGCGGCCGCTGCCGTGCACGCGGGCCAGTGTGAAGAGTGTAGAGACCGGAGCCCGGCTCAGCAGCAAAGGTGGCCAGAGGCTGGTAAGAGTCCCCGTCAACACACACCGCAGTCTCCCCAGAAGGCTCAAACCACACACCCACGTGCTGACTCACGAGGGGTCGCACGCCCAC